GTGTGTGTGTGTGTGTGTGAGTGTGTGAGTGTGTGTGTGTGTGTGGTTGGGGGGAGGGGGTGTATTTGTCTTTTACCGTGCCAATATTGACTCACGCGCTACGTCACGCATGGCGAGATCAAGATCTAGGAACAGGTAAAAAGCTCTTTGTACCGTATGTATGTGCGGAAATCAAAAAGCTATAGAACAGGTGACCCGGTCAAAACATGCGCGGCAATCTCTTACAGGAGGTAAAGCCTCAGAGACATACTTTTCTTCCCTGGGGATGCAAAAATCCTGGTGGGTTTCTGTTCTCCTCTCTCTCTTGCCCTTTTTAACTCCCAGTGGAGCACAGGCCATCAACAACATTACTCCAGCGAAGCCTGTCCTGAGCATCCTTTTCTATCTGTTTCCATGATGTCCCCGCTTTTTCAATTTCCGGGTTTCTGTTCACTTAGGTAATACTGATCTTTTTCTGCTTTTTTTTTTTCCAAAACGATTTTTGATATACAATGATAAAGTATCAAACTTGCAACCACCCAAACCTCCCAAAAATTATAAAAAAAGCAAACAAACAAAAGACAAAAGAACAACACCCACAACAGCAACCAAACCCCCCGACCCCCCCCCCCAAAAAAAAAAAACACAAACCCCACAACAACAAACAAAACAAAACAAACAACAACAACCTGCAACAAAGAACAAACCACCCCCTAAAAACAAATTTTGAAAAAGCAACAAGAAAATCCAACGATATTTATAAGAAAATGAAAAACAGCAACATGTCAACAAATTCCCCTCCTTCAGAAAATTAAAAAAAAACAAAAAACAAAACAAAAACAAAATAAAACAAACCCTCCAATTTACAACAACTTTCGACAAAAACGAACAAATGACACCCCCCACTAGTAGCAACATTAAACATAAAATAAAAACAGTTACAACAATAACAATGACAGCAACAACAACAGATAAAAAACCAACGCACATAAACACACACACAAACACACACAAACACACACATACACACACACACAACCACCACCACCACCAACAACAACAACAACAGCAACTAACCCTTTTAATTACTCCCCTGAATTGCCCCCTCCCCTCCCCATTCCATCCCCCAGTGAAGATATTATGAATGAATGCACCGGGGCTTCAGTGTCCTTGTGAGTAGATCTAATGGGGTCAGACTCACAAATCTTAATTATGTCAAACAAGAAAGTGTTTGATTGGTAACACGGGGTTCAGGTGGGTGGTCACTGGGTTGTGTCCTCGAGAAAGACACGCTAACCCCCGCTCAATTGAAAAACAGGGAGCTGCACTGTGGTGACAAGGCAATGGCACGTTTGTATTGTCCTGCATTGGTGTGACATTGAATATGTGGTATTCTTTTTTATTGCTGTGTTATATTATGCATTTATGTGTGTATGTTTGCAGTTTGTAATCTCAATTTGAACACTGGCATGGGATCAATAAAGTACAATTTTATATTTTTAATGAATCGTTGCAAACTGACGGCAAAATACTGTTGTCCATCCTCATTGGCATAATAATCTCGATTATTTTCGAGGTGAGTTGCCTTTGCCCTTCTTGTCAGGACCAAGGAGATTTAAAGTAGTTCTAAACTCCTTGGTCAGGACCAACCTAGGCTGAGTAGTACACAGCACCCCCCAGCAGACACATCTTCCCTATCGGAAACATATTAATACAGGACAAAATAATTTCCTCACCTCACCCCCACTTACACCGGTACCCCTAGCCTCTTCCTCTCCT